CTGCAAAATCGAGACTCAAGAACCAAAGCCTGAATTTAACTTGATGCAAATTCTGCAAGAAAATGGAAATCTCAGCAAAGTGCAGGCCTGAATAGCATTGTCTGCCTATCTCCAGCATGTTCAAATTCATCTTATGAAAGTACAATGGAGGTCAAATGCTCAGTGCCAGTTGGGTTGCCAAAGAAGATGAACAGATGGAGCTAGTGGTTCATTTCCTCAAGTGAGGATCCGGTAACCTCCAGTACTCACTGAGGATGGTTTTACCCAGTCAATGATTGGCACTTCTGGAATTCAGAAGAATCTTGGCCCACCAACTAGGTTTCTATGTCCTGGTACAACAGGGTAACAGAACAAATGGCTGAAAAGAAACTGAAGAAGAAACTTGAGGAAGAAGAGGAACATGGGGTTAATGTGGAAAACTTTCAGGATTTCATCCGATAAGTAAGTGAGGCTGAACTAGAGAAGGTGTTGACTTTTTATTGCCCTAAAAACAAGTCTGCACGTGCCTTTCTTGGACTCACTCTAAAAGTTCTAAAAACAACAACAGTTATTCTGATAACAGAGCAAAGGGTGATCACCCGGAGACAATGGGAAAAGTGAAAATAAAGTAGCCCAGACAGCAACAGGCAACAGAAATTCACTCTGATAAATTATCTTGACTTACCACTTCAGCAGAAAAAGAAGGTAAGCTACTCTACCAATCCTTCCTGTGCTGCTTTTTCTGGTCTTGCTGCTACCCTTCTGCAGAAAATTCCTAACACCCACTTATCATCTATTATTACAACCTCTGACCTATCACCAGGGCCTCGCCACCATTCTTCTTTATCTCAGATTCCTCCAGGCATCCCCAGCATGCCCCTCTGGCCAACAATTGTATATATCCTGGGACACAGAATGTACCAAGCCCTGCTGGCCTACCAAGCTGTCAAACAGGCAGTTACACCATTGGCCTCTTTTCTTCCTAGAATGCTGCACACATCTATAGCCAAAAACTGTCTCATCCCTCTTCAGCAAAGGCAGCAGGTTCAGGCCATCTGAACAAGCAGCATTCAGGAGTAGCCAAAATGCAAAAGCAGGGAGAAGATGTTTCTTTGTACAGCAGATGGTACAACCAAAGTATGATTACAGCTGAACTCCAGTGGCTAGCTGATAAGCAGGCAGCAAGGCAGTCTTCTCCCTCCACTCACATCAGTCTCCTCACCTAGTAGTTATCAAACCTGAATTTGGCAAGTGGCATCATAAACCGAAACAGTGCTGCAACTCCTTCCACCCTTAGGCCTGTCATCCATCCTAGTGTTCCAACATGGTCAATACAGTCAGACCCCTAAGCTCCTAGGACCACTACACCCTTCCTGGAAGCAGGAGCCTCCAAACAGGTGGCTTTGCCTGGAAGGGAGAGGTAGAGAATACGCTTATAGCAAGGCTACAGGGGTGGTCCCCTAGCACAAATATCACCCCAAAGCCTGCAGGCACCAACTCCATTTTGCCCTGCAGCAACATGAATAACAAAACCTTCAGTCCCCGCAACTTCTGGACCAGAGTCGAACCTGGCACCATGTGATCTTTGGCAACCAGACACTACCTAACTCCAATTTATGCACAATGAATAATGATGCAGTTTGCAGAATTTTGAGTGCCACAGCTAGTGGCCAGAAGCCAACTATTCTGCCACAAAAAGTGGTGCCACCTTCAAGTTCTTCCTATTCCCTGGTCCCCAAACTCCCATCCAATCACAAACAATTCCCCAGAAAGGCAACATCCTAGAGTGGTTCTACCAGTGCTGCAAGGGGTCCATAGGATTTTTTATTTATATATTTTTGCTGACTCAGTCCCCAAAGCCTTTGAGCAGAGGTGGCAGTAGGTTGTTGCCAATCAGATCAGCCAATCCAGACTTTTACTGAGAGGACAGGAAAACACAGCAGCTGGATTGTTTTGTTTTATCCTCACCCGAGGACATTTTTGAAAATGTTTTGTTCCGATAGAGCGGGAGGGAGAGAGAGGAAGAAAGAGAGAGAGAGAAACATCGATGTGAGAGAGACACATCGAGTGGTTGCCACCCACACAACCCAACCAGGGCCGGGGACAAACTGCAACCGAGGTACATGCCCTTAGCAGGAACCGAACCCGGGTCTCTCTGGACTGCAGACCGACACTCCAACCGCTGAGCCAAACCAGCCAGAGCTATCAGCTGGATTTTGATGGAACTTGGAAGTGGGGACATTCAATAGGTGCAGTATCTACCCTGTCAGAACACACGTGTATCTTTTACCCCTCGTGTATCTTTTACCCCTTTACCGCCTTCCCCAACTTGCTTAGGTCTTCTTTGTTCCTCTACTGCTACCACACAGAGATGATATAAAAGAGGCTATTTGGCTATTTGCATTTTGCTTCCTCCTCTTTTCCAGATTGCATTATTAAGCTTTACTTCCTACAAGTCTAAAATCCCAACAACATTATCTACTAGATTTGTTCTTCTTTTTTTAGAGGGTTTGGGGAGAAGAGGGAAGATGCTATCACAAGTTTCTCAGAGAGTGGAAGAAAAGTCAGTGTGCTGCTGACCACACGAGCCATGGTCAAGGCACCCTTTGGAATTTCGTTTATCAATATAAATGCTGTGAGATTAATTGGCAGAATCATGTGCAGTAATGGTAACTGGCCTGGGAAAAACAAAGCAAAGAAATTACTTTGGAAGCAAAAAGATACAAGTCTAAAATGCAATTAGGACTAAGGCCTGAAAACAGCCTTTTAAGAGAGGCAGCTAGAAACTAAAAAGAAAGATGAAATTAGAATGCATACATGAGGACAAGAAGGTAATCAATATGCTTCTACCACTTTGAGAGGAGTTTTAGATTCACTTTTGTTCCATAACTAACTCCATGACATGAGAATTGACATGCTAAAGGAATTGAAAAGAGAAGCATTGCCTTTCAGGCTAGGCATAGAGTAGACTTCAAATGCAGGCTCCAATAACTGAAGGCTATGTGAACTATAAATGAGTATACATTGTTGGGATTGCAATCCAGATGTATGTCCCCCAATCTTCGCATTTCCCCCATGATTAACTTAATGTCAAACGTGCTCTGCCTAATTTTTAAGAGATCTTTGCACTTTCCTTTTTAAAGAAAGTGCTATAGGTTGTCCAGTCAAGGTGACAGATTGAATAGGCATGAGGAAAATGCTAGATAAAATAGAGTAGAATTTAAAATATATACCCTGGATCCCACCTCTCTTCCACCTACAAATATGTTTGATTCCCCTGACAACAAAACTACTCAAAAGGGAAGTACTCAGTGTGTCAAATTCTACCAGCCTTTCTTAAACCAATTCAATCAGACATTATCACCACCCCCTCTTTATATTCTACCAAAACTTTTCTCAAGTTCAGCAATGGTTAACAGGTCTTAAATTGAATTTCACTTCTGAGTTGTGAACCTACGTAATCTACCAGTAGTGTCTGACACTGTTTATCATCCCCTCCTCCTGCAAATACTTTCTTCTGTCACTGAAAAGTAATATTGACTAGGTGTTTTGTCACTAATTTGGGGAAAAAAGAAAAAGGTTGCAAACCAGTGCATGTAAACATGGCAACTCACATGCACACACTTCATGGTGTGCCAAAATAGAGAAGTATATATAGAGAAGTATATACAGTTATCATGGAGCTTTATAGTAAGTATAGAGTTCTTCCTGTAGAATTCTGTACATTATGTAGGATGTGAGAACTCCTCCCGTAAGACCTAGCTCCTCTCATAGACCCTTGTTTGCTTAAAGTCTCAAGTCATAATCATTATCACTTCCTTTGGATTACCTCTTACCTAACTAGTCACTTCTTCTCAGTCTCCATTGCTGATTCCTTCTCTTCTTCCTAATCTCTTTAACGTTGGGGGTGCTCCAGACTTAGTTCTTGGTCCTTATCTCTATATTTACTGCCTTGGTGACTACATCCAAGCTTATAGCTTTAAGACTATCCATGTTGATGACTGTCACATTTTTATCTCCAGTTCAGTTCTACATTTCCAATTGATTTCCTACTAGGCATCTCAAAATTAAAAAAAAAAATAATTCAAAACTGAGACTATGTTATTATACTTCACAGCAAACACCCTTAAGCTTAAAAATTCTTCCCAGTTTTCTCCATTGCAGTTAATGATAGGGAAGGGGTATGTAATAGAAATACAATCACAGTTGTTTAATAGCTACTCACTATAAAGAAAATATTTTCTTACAGACCCTGGGAAACTGAAGGAAATGTTGTAAGAAGAAAAGGCCCTGAAGATAAGGCAACCCGGAGCCCAGATCAAGGACAAGGACAGAACCTATCTAAAGGGAGGCAGTGTTCCAGGGCCAATCTTTGCAAGGACAATGAAAGAAGGCAGACCTTGAGAACTTAGTAACTTTATATTTTTCCCACCCACTAACCCTACATAAGAGTTTATTTGAAATACAATGTCTGAGAACAGAATTTTCAGGGTGATCAACTCCTCTCCCCATACTGCCGGCATTATTGGAATAAATGTTCATATGTTATTCAACCTTGCTTCTGCTTATTTTGGTTCAAGTAGTGACAGGTGGCCTAGGACACATTTAGTGTCTGGTATCATTAAGGTAAATTTATCATTCCAGTTGTTTTACACCTTAAAGTCATCCCTAACTCCTTTCTTTTTCTCACACATCTCATCTAATGTCAGTAAATCCAAGGGCTCTTCAAAATATATCTAGAATCCAACCATTTCTCACAATTTCCACTGTTAAGACCCTGGTCCAAGCTATCATCATCTCTCACTTGGATTGTTTCCACTTCTGCTCCTCCTCCCACAGCCTATTCTCAATACAGTGACTCTTAATAAACCGATCAGATCATGTTACTCTTCTGCTCACATTCCTCTATTGGTTCCCCACCTCATTCGGAGTAAAATCCAAAATCCATACAATGGATTCCATGGCTCTACTCAACCTGACTCCCATTATATCACTGATTTCATCCCTATCTACTCTCACCTTTATTCGTTCTGCTCGAGCTCCTCTGGCCTCCATGCTAATTTCTTGTGGATGAAAAAAGGGGTTTTATGGAAAGTAACTTCACAGGGTGATCTGGTCATAATTTTTAACTGGGCAGGTCACGGTGGATAGTCATGCCTGAGGCATATAACTTCTCTACTAAAAGGCTTATCTTTGCCTTAAACCCTGTCCACTGTTTCTCTGTGTCTAGGTTAACACACCTCTGAAATGCTCCCTTTCAGACCCCTCTTTCTTAACTGTGAGAGCACCTAATCTCAACTAGTTTGTAACCTAATCCTGGCCTTGCTTTCTTCCATATTCATATAATCTTCCTGTGTTCCCTCCTTAATTTCAAATGCTCTAAAAACAAAAGCTGCAAAACTGTTATTCTCCAGAATATTTGAAATTTTGTCCTTTGGCATATGTAGTCAGTTTGGCTCAAATAAACTCTCCTAAAAATTCTCTACAGGTATAGGTGTTTTTTCAACATCCTCTTGTTAAAAAAAAGAAACAACAGACCCAAGATAAAGACATTTGCCCCATGTAATTACAACTTCAACCTCTTCCAGAAATGTGATTTATAACCAGTCAATCTGAAATTTCCAGGCTAGCACTAGTAAGATCATCTGCATGATGAAACCCCTGCCATTTCATTCCCCAGAAGAATAACCTGGCCTGAAACAATCTGTTCTTTTATTTTGCTAATACCTTCCTTGTCCCACCTTCCATCTGCCTATAAACCCTTGCATTTTGTATAACTCCTCAGAGCACCTCTCTATTTTCCAGATGGGGTTCAAGAATAGCTCAATTAGATCTTCAAATTCACTCGATTGAATTTGTTCTGTAGCACTCTAAACACTAGGCACACTTTCACCTCAAGGCATTGCCTTGGTTTTCCTTTCTTCAGTCTTCCTCCAGATATCTTCATAGCTGGCTTTATCATTTCCATTTTGTTCATATTGAATACTGTAATTCCCCCACCAGTTGTATTCCCAATCCTTTTCATCCTTCTTTACTTTTCAACCGCTCTTCTCACCTTCTAATACATGATTTATTTATTATACTTATATTGCTTATCATCTATCCCCTCCTTTGAGAATGTAAGCTTCTCTAGAGCAGAAATTTTTTCAGCTGAAAACAAATTTCTTTTTCTTTATTGATTTTAGAGAGAGAGAGGAAAGGAAAAGGAGAGAGAGAGACAGGAACATTAATGAGAAAGAACATCGACTGGCCACCTCCTGCATGCCCCCAACTAGGGATCTGGCCCACAATCTGAGCATGTGCCCTGACCGGGAATCAAATTGACGACCGCTCAGTGCATGGGTCAATGCTCAACCTCTGAGCTACACCGGCCGGGCTCAGTTTTTTTTTTTTTTTTTTTTAATTATGTTTTTATTGATTTGAGAGAGAGGAAGAGAGAGGCAGAGAGAAAGAGAAAAACATCAAAGTGAGAGAAACACTGATCGACTGCCTCCTGCGTAGACCCCACAAGGGAAGTTCCCAACCTGGGCATGCACCCTGACTGAGAATCAAACCAGTGGCCTCTTGGTGCATGGAACGATGCTCAACCAACTGAGCAATACTGGTCAGGGTCTTTGCAGTTTTTTAAACTGATATATTCATCCTCCCCTCTCCTAAAACAGTGTACAGTACAAGGTGCTTGTTAAATATTTGTTCAATGAATCAATAAATGAATGCATCTTAAATGACCTTTAAAATAAATATTTTTTACATGTACAAAAATATAAAGGGAAGCATAAAAAAAGGACAATGTGAAAAAATGGAGGGCTTTGAAAATAGATGCTTCATTGTGCAGTAAAAACAAAGCTACTTGGCCCTGGTCAGCGTGGCTCAGTAGTTAAAGCATCAGCCTGCACACCAAAGGGTTGTAGGTTTAATTCCTGGTCAAGGGTATGTACCTGGATTGCAGTTTGGTTTTCCATCCCTGTCAGGACATGTGCTGGAGGTAGCCAATCAATGTGTCTCTCACACTGGTCTCTCTCTCTCTCTCTCTCTCTCTCTCTCTCTCTCTCTCTCTCCCTCCCATCCAGTCTCTTTAAACACCAATGGAAAAAAAATATCCTCGACAGAAGATTAGCAATAAAACAAAGCTATTGGGACCAGACAGGACTGGGATTAAATCCTGGCTCTGCCATTTACTGTGTGACTTTGGGCAAGTTATTCAATAGCAAGAATCCAAGATTCACCACCTGTAAAACTGGAATGATAATGTCTCATAGTTATTGTGAGGGTCATGCACTTAGCACAATCCTTGACACATAAACCCTCAATACATTTTAGTTATTAGTATTACTACTAAGTACCATGTCACTCTCCACCTCTAGAGTGAGTTAGGGCTGACCTTCTTAGACCACTTTTTGGATACTCCATAAGTATCTATTGAATGAATACCTGATTAAGTACCTACGACATAGTAGCTGTAATCAGTCAAAGATGCCTTCATGGTTACTCCCTAAACTAGGTTTGTCCTGTTCTCCCCATTAACACACAATCAGTTTGAGCAAAATATTTCTTTTTTTTAAAATTGATTTTTAGAGAAAGAGGAAGGGAGAGGGAAGAGAGAGAGAAACATCAATGAGAGAGAACACTGACTGGCCACCTCCTGCATGTCCCCCACTGGAGATCGGGCCTACAACCTGGGCATGTGCCCTGACTGGGAATCGAACCTGCGACCTCCTGGTACATGGGTCGACGCTCAGCCACTGAGCCACACCAGCCGGGCTGGGCAAAATACTCCTGAGTCTGATGTATACTATGGCTCTCCTACTCCAACCAACATGGTGGTACATGCTCAAAGCCAGCTGCTTTTGAAGACCTGCTTGCCATGTCCAGTCACAATGGATTTGGGTGAAAAAGCAACCTGATAATGTACAAGTTCCAGTTCTTCTAAAAAACCCTGCTTAGTGCAACACAGACAACAAATCTCTAGGGTTGGATGGCAGAGTATCAGTAGCTGGTAGCATTAAAATAAAGTATTTGGGACTTAAGAAAACAATGCTTTGGATTGGCACTGATGTTACTGCATTCGCCATTGCTGTCCAAATGGTGAGATGGTGGTTTTGTGGAAGGAACTTCGTTCTCAACACATCACCTTGTTCTCAATTCCTTGCCAGTTAACAGCTGCTTTCAGCAGAACATGCTTCTTTGACTAAACAGTTGTGTGTATTCACAAATGACAGATCAAAATATGATGATCCCTGGCATGGGGCCGATGTGTGGTTGGTGTGGTTTTCATCATGTGCTTAGGTTTAGTTGAGATCCCTGGTTTTTAGTGTTCACCAAATGTGAAAAATCTTCTGGCCATTATCACTTTAAATATTTTTTTCTGCACACCTCTCTACCCTTCATTTACACATACTATTTGGCTGCTTGAAGTTTCTAACAGCTCACTGATGCTCTTTTCATCTTTCTTGTTCTTTTTTTCTCCTTGTGTTTAATTTTGGAGAATTTCTATTGCTTTTGGTTTAAAACCACCAATATACTAAATGTACAATGTTTAATCTGCATCAATCCCACCCAATGTTGTCTTCATTGCTTCATTTTCAATTTGAGATTTTTCCCCCATCTTCCATGTTTCTACTTAAAATTTTGAACACGCATAGTACAGTTATAATTGTTTTTAATATCCTTCTCCACTAATTCTAAAATCTGTGTTTGTTTGAAGTGGGTTTCTACTGATTGGTTTTTCTCTTCAATAAGGGTCATATATCACAGCTTCTTTGAATGCCTGGTAATCTTTGGCTGAATGCCAAATATTGTTCACTTTATCTTGTAGAGTACTGGATATTTTTGCATTCCTATAAACATGATTTATCTTTGTTCTGGAATGCAAATTACAGTCTGATCCTTTGTCTTGCCTTAATGATTTCACAGTCAGAACCAAAGCATTAGTTAGCATAGGCTAATTTTTCCCCACAACGAAGGCAAAACCATTCTGTATACTCTTACACTTCATGTTCTGTTTATTATGAGGATTTCCAGCGTGGCTGATAGAAACAAAAACTATTACTAGCCTTGTATGAATTTTGGCACTGTCACCTCTAATCTTCTTGGATGGTTGGTTCTTTTATTTCAACAACAACAACAACAAAACAACATCCCTGGCATCCTTTTTTCCATACAACACTCTATTCTCTGATACCCTGATAACAACTTTAGACTCCTTACATTCTCACCTGCCTGAACTCAGGCAGTCCACCCTGTTTTCCCTCTTCGTTTATGGCCTGAAAACTCACTAGGGAGTAAGCTGTGGCAATTGTAGGGATCACTTCATTCATTTCCCATTGCTTAAAAGTTCCTATTCTTTGATGTCTGATGTCCATTATTTTGAAAACTGTTATTTCATTTATTTTGTCTATTTTATTTTTGGCTGTTTGGGGCCAAAAGTCAATATTAATTTGTGCACATAAATTCATGAGCGCCTACTGTGTGCAGTAAGCCTTGTTCAAGATACTTGGGGATATGCTGATGAACAAACAGACCCTGCTCTCACAGAAGCTTCGTTGTATTGCAGGGATACAGACAACATACTGATAAATGAGGTTCTTTTGATCATTATTACACCCATATAAGGTAGCCTGGCAGAGATGATTACTACTTCCATTTTACAGTTGAAGAAACTGAGGCTCTACATGATAAAATAGCTTTCCCCAGGTCACATAATTGGTAAGTGGCAGAATCAGGAATCAAACTCTTATCTTCTGATATCTAAGCAATCTTTTCCCTCTGCAACACTGTCACCTTTGCAGGGACCCAGCCTAACAGCTGTGTTATATGCACCTATGGAGTGGAAGGTAAGGTGAAAGACCATCTATTAGGAAGGCCTTCTAGGATGCTTTTTCTGTTCTTCTAGACATTTTTATCTTACAGTTTTATTTACCTTCCAGACTAGATTCAGATTATTGAGGGGACACCTAGGTTTCATTTTTCTATTAATGTGTATCCATATAGGATTTTTCTAATAATATCTGGTGAGTGGATAAATGAATGATACATTAAATGGCTTAGGAAGAGAATGGGGGACAATCTAGGTTAATTAAGACTGGGTTCTGCCCCTGATGGGATAACATAGTCTCATGAGTCTAGTAACACAACCAAATACAGCAGGCAAGTCAGTAACCTTTCACAAGTCAAAAAGACCTTGAACATTAATGTCTGACATAAAGCTTAGTTTAATCCTTTTTAAAGCTACTATAGAGACCATTTCAAGCATGACCATTACTGCCTCTCAACAATAAATGGCTACAAAATAGTAACTGTGTAATACCACTGTCATGCTATGCCCATATAGGATATTTCTTGAAATTACAACCTTTATATATTAGTGAAGGGAAGTAGAATTTGTCACCCCAAAATATGCCTGTTCAGCATATTATTTTAAGCTGGTTATTTTTAAGAAACAGCAGATACAAGTGAAGCTCTAAAAACTGAGAAGTTACCTTTTTGTAAGAAACATTTACATTTATAAGGGAAATCTCCATTTGTAAGAGTGTCTCCTGCTCTGTACCAGGAAGAGTATGACCAAATCTCTAGAAATTCTTATCAATGCAAAAGGCAAGAAATTAAATAAACATAACAACTTTACCCTTGTTCACTATTCTTTTTCTGGTAACCTCCAATAATTAGCCTAGCTCCCGACCACCCCCAGCACCTTTTTTCTTTAGCTGAAGATGATATTTAAGGTGGTGGCTTGGGCCATTTCAAGGAATTACTCCAACTTGAGTCATCCACGTTATTAAACTTTTGTTTGTTTGTTTATTTGTTTGTTTTTCCTGTTAATCTGTCTTTTACTATAGTAACACCTCAGCCAAGAACCTAGAGAAAAAATTATTTTTCCTCCCCCCACTAACAACACAGATTAACTAAAGAATCATCACTATAGCCCTGGCCGGTTTGGCTCAGCAGTTAGAGCGTCGGCCTGCGGTCCAGAGAGACCTGGGTTTAGTTCCTGCTAAGGGCACGCACCTCCGTTTCAGTTTGTCCCCGGAACCTGGTTGGGTCGTGGAGGTGGCAATCACTCGATGTGTCCCTTTCACGTAGATGTTCCTCTCTCTCTCTCTCTCTCTCTCTCTCTCTCTCTCTCTCTCCCTTTCACTCTGTCTGAACAAAATACAGAAAAGTGTCCTCGGGTGAGGATAAAAAAAAAAAATCAACACTATAGGAATAACAGTCCAAGCTTTTAGTTTTTGGCTGTTAATGTACTTACCTTTAAGGCAACAACAGCAGACTCAGCAGGCAGGGGCTCCATTCCAGAACTTGTTCTTTGGTCTTGAACATTTCTATAAATAGGTAAAAAGAGAGATGGTAAGCACATCTCACTTGTTGTTTAAATCAAAGCTTTCTATAATTACAATGAAATTAAGGTTCAAATTTGTTAAAATATTTACTGTTCTTAATACATAATATCATCAATCTTTGAGTTGTTGATTTTCCCACACTGAGAGTTGTTCTTTACCATACCTGTAAAATAAACCATCTGGACCTTCATTGAAATGAAGTTTGTTGCAGGCCTCAATGCCTCTTTTGACAGTGGTAAGCAAAAGCAAGCTTTAGGAAAAAAAACTAAGGGGTATCAGTGAATGTTCTTAATTTTTAAACTAACTACAATTACAAAAAATGCCTTCAGGCCAAATTTAATTTTGTTTCCTGTAATTAGAGAAACTTTCCATTCTCTGGCTCATTAACAATTTATTTCTACCAAAATTAGAATTTCAATACTCAAGGTGAGAATGCAACTTTTTGGCAAATTCTTTTCTACATACTAGCTTATTTTTCACCAAGTAAGTAAACGATGAGACAGAAAGCAAGAGAGAATACGAATGAAAGAGAATCTTGGTTTTGATATTGAAATTACCTTTTAAGCCTTAAAAATGTTATAACTTACAATTATAAAAATGTATTTTGTGTTCAAGAGTTTTCCTTTGGTAGGACAAGGAGTAAAAAGTCCCTGAAGGGAAACACAGTTTGCCACCCAAAACTATTCCTCTTTGGAATATTATTTAAATCAATACTTCCTAAATGTGTATATTTTGATATCCAAAGTATATTTTTGAAACTCCTCTTAATTTTCTACAATTATAAATAAATGATAAATAAAATGGATGTTTTACTGGGTTCTGTAAAATATAAAATGAAACATTCCTCTCCATTTTATCAATACTCAGTTTTTGAAGCCATACTGGAAAATTTTGTATAAAATTTTTAAAAATTAAATTATTTTTTAAGAAACAAAAGACTTGGGCAAAGCTTCCACCTAACTCCCTCAAAGAATTCAGAGGACCTGCTACAGGAAGAGAGTTATCACCATAGGTAACCATAGTTTAATATGAACTAAGTGGATAGACAGGAAAGAACCTAGCAAGGCCAACTTGATCAAAGTCCTCTTTGTGTCCCATTGTTAAAGATGGCCCAGTAAACATTTGTTCACTAAACATTTGCTTTTTCATCTACATGCAAATTTGCAAATTGCCTTCCTCCCCTTTAAAGTCTCAAATCAATACTTTCCCTTTCTCCTTTGCTTAACATGACATATAGGACTCAACTGCATGATTTATATTCAGGCCCCATGTTCTTATAGACTCCCCCCATACATATATACATATTTAATTTAGTCATTTTCTCCTAAAATGTCTTATGACATTTTAATTATTTGATCAGCCAAAATAACTAAGACGGGAAAGGGAAAATTTTCTCCAACTATATACCCCTATCACTGCACAAAATAAGAAACTGGATTCAACTGAGAACCCAAGGCTCTTCAAGGAACCTTAACTAATAGCCTCAGTCAAAAAGCAAGAGGATAACTGAGCCTTTCCTGGGCTTGCAAATCTACCCAGGAAAGTAAGACTTGACAGTGGTGTTTAACGTGGGTCCTCCCATGCTCATCCAACCCAGAAGAGGGAGCAACAAACAGCAGAACAACAACCACAGGGAAAATTTGGCAGGCTCCAAAACACACAGAGATAGCCAAAATGGTGAAAAAAGAAAAAGTAATCCCAAATGAAAGAATAAGAGAAGTCTACAGAAGACGAGATAAATGAAATTCAGTTAAGCAAATTATCAGAGGTAAAATTCAGAGCCATGATCTTATGGACGCTCAACAGCATAAGTAAGGACATCAACACCATAAGTAAAGACATAGAAACATTGAAAATCAACTAATTAAAAATGAAAAACCACCAAAAAGAAATGAAGAATGACATAGCAGAAATAAAGAACACATTGGAAGGACTAACCAGCAGAGTAGAGGAAGCTGAGGACCGGATCAGTGAATTAGAAGACAAGGTAGAAAAAAATCAACCAATCAGACACTCAAAAGGAAAAAATTCAAAAACAAAAAGACAACTTAAGAGAAATGCGGGACAACTGGAAACACAATAATATTCACATCATAGGAGTCCCTGAAGAAGAAGAAAATGAGCAAGGGTTAGAGACTATATTTGAAGAAATACTGACAGAAAACTTCCCTAATTTGGTGAAGGAAGAAGGCATTCAAGTTCAAGAAGCACAGAGAGCCCCAAGTAAGAAAAACCCAAACAGGCCCACATCAAGACACATAGAAATTAAAATGCCAAAAATTAAACACAAAGAGAGAATCCAAAAGGCAGCAAGAGATAAGCAATAGGTTACCTACAAAGGTACCCCCTTTGTAGGCTCTCAGCTGCCTTCTCAACAGAAACACTACAGGCCAGAAGGGAATGGCATGAAGTTATCAAGGTCATATAAAACAAGGATCTGAATCCAAGACTGCTCTATCCAACAAGGCTATCATTCAACATAGAAGATGAACTAAAGAGCTTCCAGACAAAAAAAAAAAAGGCTAAGGTAATACATTGGCACCAAACCAGCACTGCAAGAAATGTTAAAAGGACTGCTGTAATTAGCAGAATAAATAGGAAGAAAAATATAACCACACTAAACAAAAATGGCAATAAATAAGTACATATCAATAATCACCTTAAATGTAAATGGATAAAAAGACACAAGAGTAGCTGATTGGATAAGAAAGCATGACTCATCTATATGTTGTTTACAAGAGACCTATCGCACAACAAAAGACTCACATAGATAGAAACTGAAGGGATGGAAGAAAATCTGCCAAGCAAACAAAAAAGGAAAAACAGGTTGGGTAGCAATACTCATATCTGATAAAATAGATTTCAAAATGAAGGCCATGACTAGAGACAAAGAAGATTACTACATAATATTTATTGAAAGGATCTATCCAACAGGAAGATATAGCCGTGATAAACATATATGCACCCATTACAGGAGCACCAAAACATATTAAAAATGTTCTGGCCCTGGCCGGTTTGGCTCAGCGGTTAGAGCGTCGGCCTGCAGTCCTGAGAGACTCGGGTTCAGTTCCCGCTAAGGGCGCGTACCTCGGTTGCAGTTTGTCCCCGGCCCTGGTCGGTCGTGCGGGTGGCAGCCACTCGATGTGTTCCTTTCACATCGATGGTTCTCTCTCTCTCTGTTCCCCTCTCTCCCTCCCACTCTACCTGAACAAAAAAATGGGAAAATGTCCTCGGGTGAGGATTAAAAAAAAAAAAAAAATGTTCTGGAAGACTTCAAAGGAGAAATCAACAGCAATACAACCATAGCAGGGGACTTCAACATCCCACTGACATCACTGGATACATCATCTAGACAAAAAAAATTAACAAGGAAACACAGACTCTTAATGAGACACTAGACCAAATGGATTTAATAGATATCTACAGAAAATTACACCCCAAAACTACAGAATTTACATTCTTCTCAAGTGTACAAAACATTCTCAAAGATAGACCACATGTTAGGACACAAACTAGGTCTCTACAAGTTCAAAAAGATTGAAATCATGTCAAGCATCTTCTCAGCTCACAATGGCATGAAACTAGAAATCAATTGCAACAAGAACATGCACAGACATATGAACACATGGAGGCTAAATAGCATGTCACTGAACAATGAATGGGTTACCAAGGAGATCAAGGAAGAGATTAAAAACTTCCTGGAAACCAATGAAAATGAATACACAAGAACACAAAATCTATGGGATGTAGCAAAAGCAGTTTTGAGAGGGAAGTTCATAGCACTATAGGCCTACCTTAAGAAACAGAAAAAATTTCTAATAGACTATCTAACCTCACAACTTAAAGAACTAGAAAGCAAACAAAAATAAAACTCCAGAGCAAGTACAAGAAAAGAAATAGTAAAGATCAGAGCAGAAATAAATGATATACAGACCAAAAAAAAAAAAAAAAAAAACCAATTCAAAGGATCAATGAAACAAAGAGATATTTTTTAGAAAAGATAAACAAGATTGATGAACCCTTAGCTAGACTCACCAAGAAACAAAGAGAGAGAACCCAAATAAACAAAATCAAAAATGAAAGAGCAGAAGTAACAACTGACAGCACAAAAATACAAGGGATCTTTAACAAATACTATGAACAGTTATATGGCAACAAATTCGACAATCTATGCGAAATGGACAAATTTCTAGAAACACATAGTCTCCCAAAACTGAACCAGGAAGAGATAGAAAACTTGAACAGACCAATAACAAAAGAAACTGAAGATGTAATCAAGACTCTCCCAGCAAATAAAAGGACGGCTTCATGGGGAAGTTTTACCAAATATTCAAAGAAGAACTAATACCCATTCTCCTCAAACTATTTCAAAAACTCAAGGAGGAGGAAGACTTTCAAACTTGTTTTATGAGACCAGCATAATTCTAATTACAAAACCAGATAAAGACACTACAAAGAAAGAAAACTACAGGCCAATATCCCTGGTGAATATAGATGACAAAATCCTGAACAAAATACTAGCAAATCAGATCCAGCAATATATTAAATAATTATTCACCATGACCCAGTAGTATTCGTCCCAGGGATTCAAGGCTGGTACAATATTCTCAAATCAATAAAAGTGATACACCACATAAACAAAACGAAAGATAAAAATCATATGATTATATCAATAGATGCTGAAAAAGAATTCAACAAAATCCAGCACCCATTTCTGATAAAAACACTCAGCAATCTAGGAATAGAGGGATCATATCTCAACATAATAAAAGCCATATATGAAAGGTCTACAGTCAACATCATACTCAATGGGCAAAAACTAAAAGCATTTCCCTTAGGAACGGGAACAAGACGGGGATGCCCACTTTCGCCACTCTTATTTAACATAGTACTGGAAGTCTTAGCCACAGCAATCAGACATAAAAAAACAAACAAACAAACAAAAAAACATAAGGGATCTAAATTGGAAAGTAGGAAGTAAA